GAAGAAATCGTTCTACACCGCCTCCGATTGCTCGGCCATGTTTTGCGTATGCTTGCCCATCGACCACCTCGCCGTGCTCTCTTTGCACGTGCTGAGCAAGGTTGGAAGAAGCTTCGCGGCGGTCAGACCATGACATGGCGTAGAAGTATGAAGAAGTTAGCCTCAGCATTGGCTTCGGTTGGTGCAGCTCGCCTTCCAGGCTGAGGCCCAAAGGATGAAGATTGCCGATGGCTAGAGAAGCTAAGAGATATGGCTCAGAATAGACGTCAGTGGCGCGATTGCTGTGCGGTTTGTTTATGGAAACCCCGTTCCAAATAACAAATCTTCAAAGTGTACGGCGAAACTATAAAAAAATCATTCATTCCATCTCTGTGTTCTCTGTTCCCCTATTATCGTTTAATCTATCTGTACTCCTCCATAACTTCATTATCATTGTATTGCATTGGCACCATGCTTGTTCTCAGATCGGTGTAATATATATATATATATATATATATATATATATATATACATGTATATAATTAATCAGTGATACCTCAGGTACATGTAGACTGGTGCGTTAGAATCTCAATTGAGTTTATCAGAAAGCACCGTCCTATCGTCCACTTGTCCTCATCGTCTCCTTACCCAGTCTGGTGCTTCCGAAAAGAAGGGCAAATAAAACCTAGCTGGATACTGCATTAGAAAGCCTGAAGGAACTTGGTCTTTAGATGGCAGTTGTCGGTATAAAACCAACTGAATTAACATCTACAAGGACTTTCCGGCGATCGTTTGGCATGGTTAACCGCGATTAAAGACATTTAACAGTGTTAGACTACCCTCCTGTCACCTGACTGATTATCACGCTCAACCTATTGAGGCCTTTTATGGTTTGCCATATGAAGTATTAGGGTTGGGTTGCCGGTCCTCTCTCGCGCTACAAATGAGGAATACAACTCACATAAATAACTTTATTGCCCTCAATAACATTCATAGTTTAAATCGAAATGTCAATTCTGTACACCATTGTTTCCAATCTTCTTCCCCCTTGGCTTTATTTTTGACCGATACATGAATCTCTCTCTCGTCAGGTCCTACTCATCTTCAGTCCCCTGATTACTTCCTCCATTCTCCTTTTCTTAAAGCTGATGTCTGCACATATATCCATCATACTGTCGCTTCCCCACTTTCGCACCTCGATTTCTCCAATTGTAAATCCCAGCTTATAGCGCTGAAACTTCGGTTCTCTCCTTCAGCCCCTATTTTTGTATCGTTTACTGCTCTCCGAGCAGCGGTGATTCTTCCATCTTTGGTATTCTATTTTGGAACATTGAGGCACTAATGGCGACAGATCCTCAATGTTCCAAGTTTGAGACTTCTGTATGCGTACCAAAATGTCATCCGAACTGCGTCGGCCGCGTGAGGTATAGCTTCCCAAAGTGAAACTTGTTTACTTTCTCTGTTACGTCCCCAGAAGCAACTAAGACCAGGGAGGTCCATTGTTTGTGCTTTAGTTTTGATCGACGTTTGGCTGATAAAAAACAATGAAGAGTGAAATAACCAAGAATAGGTAAGTTTGGAGGTCTTTTATTACACGTTAGGTATGATAAGTAGCAGGTAGAAGGGATGAAGTCCATAGTCACAAAGGTAACTGTTCATTTATCGCAACCGACGGTTTTAACGAACGGTATGAAATTAAACGACAGCAAAATCGCTTCTCACTACTGATAATTTTTAAAGAAACATTAGTGTAATGTTTCCATCATCTGTTTGTATTGTGACTCATTGAATCTACCTAACCATACCACATTTTATTACAAAAATTTTGGAACTGCCTAAAAAGATTATTAAGCTTTGTCGCAAATTTTCTTTCCAAATGTTTCTGTGCGCAGCTCTGTCTCTACGATATTCGGTGTGGACAACGACGTCCCGTTTCACGACACACTTGGCGGTTGAGCCGTAAGTACGGAAAAATCAAGGTCGGGAAATGTGCTCACGGCGCGGTGCTGCCAGATCTTAGCGTTGTTCGACCGATAACCCGTGCACTAGCGTTTGGCGACGCCCCTGGTTCCGGTGTCCGTATTGTGGCCGGGAACGCCATTGGGGATCTTTGTTTCCTGGACATGCGTTTACCTAGAGAACGTATTGTCTCATCAGGCGAAGATGAACCTACTTCTGGCCGCGTCAAGAGCCATGGAGCAAGAGCCGCAGAACCTCCTCTCGGGGTACAGGTGTTGTCGGGAGCATCCGGGGCAATCACAGGGCTTGCTTGTGGTGGATGCGGTATGGCAAACTTCCCACTTGTCAAAGAATCTTCAGTATTCAATAGTGAGAATATCTTGATCGCTTCATCTCTAGACCGTTATCTTCGGTTTTACAACCGAGATACTGGCGTTCGCTTGGCTAAAGTGAGTGACATTTCTCGATTGAGATTTATATTGCTTCATGGATTTGGATTGCATGATTGATTTCACAGTGAAAGAAAGAAATCCCTTGACTAAAAAGAGTTTTTTTCCAGTCAATTACTGTTCATTCTCTTGCGGTTTATGGGTTATTTTCATTGATTAAATGATTCGTTCGCGTCAAGTAGAATATCCATGTCGGTTTTGAATACACTGGTGTAACCAGAGATATGCTCCTTTGTCTCTATTGTCTGCATTGGAATCCGTATCCTTTGCTTGGTTTTTTGCTTCGCAAAGATTTCATTTGAATTCTTGTTACGCCCATAAGGGCGTTGCTGTTGCAGTAAAAAAATCCGAGGCGAATAAGTTTCATGAATCATATCACGAAATGTGCCCATTGATGAAGAACACGCGATGTAGGCGAACATGTTTTCGGTGAATTATTTTTCAAGTCTTTACAATCACATTTATATGAAACACTTTCAATGGGATAAAAACAGAACGGTTTTATGAGTCATGTGTTTAGCAACAAGCCCGAGAAAACTCCGAATTTGTCTGCTGTTTGGATTGCGTGACCAAAGTCGCGCTATGTTAAGCNTTTTCCCTTCCCTTGGCCAGGGAAGTTTGAGCTTGAATCAATTTTCATTGTGTACACAGCTCAGGCTTCATGAATCGGATGATAATCGCTTTTGCGGTTGCTAACGTCCGAAACCGTATTGCTCTCGAGGGGTGTGGTGAGACTCGATAAATGATGGTAAATGCCGAGTGCATGTCAATCCAAATTCACATTCATTACCGAGGAAACACCCCACCATTGGCTCATGGGCGGAACGCTATCAGATTGCTAAAACGGGTGAATTCTCTTACGGGATTCACAGAAGAGATTTTCGGCTGGTGTGACGCGTAAGGCGCCGAGACGGTGTGTAAAAACCACAGTCCATTGAGGTCGTTGCCTAGGTCATTGAATCGTACTCCCTTTGGACGGGACCGAAGGTCCGGGGCGCGCAGTATACCTCGATGTCCAATCACTACCACAACCAAAAAGGTCTGCTTGTGGCTTGAACTGGGAGTTTTCACCAACTCTTCCGAGTGAACCGCTGATTGTTTGCCGACCAGTTTTATCACCCCCATGTTGGTTTATCATATCTCCGTTTTAGTGAAAAAGCACCTCCACGGGAGGGCAGTGAGTAGGTCTTCATCCAAAGGGGCTAATTTGAGATGCTTTGTTGTGTAGGAGGTGTAAGCAAAGGGTGATCATTCAAAACCCAAGGCACTCTTCCCGGACCAATCCGAGGCTTTCGGGGGCGTGACTTTGTAGACTGGGATCTGCTAGATCAAGTGCAGATTGAGGATTAGAATTTTTTTAATAGATTAATGAAAATACTAGGTCCGGGGACCTGAACCGATTCTGAGCTATCATCTGCCTAGTCCCTAGGGTCGCGAGATAACGAGAAGAGCAGAAGTAGAAGTGCGTGTATATATATTAAAGCGCGAGGGGAGTGAACAACAGTTTCTGAAGTTACTAGCGCTTCGGCTAACTGCATGAAAAAAGCATATGGACTGTAGACACATTAAATTTGAAACAGTTCTTTATCATTTATGATTGTCGAATCACTAGGCGTGTCTTAATCAGATAAAATAGTGTAATCCACATAAGTGTCTCGAACATTCAAATTTGCCCCTCAAAGTAGTTTTACTTCATCGGTTTTCTGACTACCATGCACACTTTCATACCAGACATCAAGTACATTCGTAGTCTTTGTGCATGCAATTCGAACTACTCATAAGTAGTTAAACGTGATCGGTAATATTAAGCCAATAGTCGGAAAGTTCACCAAAATATTTTCTTCTCTGAGGAGCGTGTACACAGGTAAAATACTTCTCACCTACTTCAACTACATAAATAACTTGCCTGCCTCCGTGACCCTGTGCAGATCCAATCATGCATCAATGTTCAATGAATGCAGGCCAGACAAAGCCAGCTAAATGGGCATCCTGGTTCCCTCTGATTATCCACTCTCGCCCCCGAGAGATCATTCCAGTGAATAACCACGGGACGCAGTATTTTACCGATCCACCCCCCCACACTTTTTGGGCATATGAGCGGGATACTTGTTTTTTTCCTGACGGTAGAAGAAGCCTTCGCACTTGATTGGATAGCCGTCACCCGCCTAAGCTGAGCAGCCCCAGCCAGTAAGTCGCCACCCCACCCACCTTCTGTTTATCTCATTGGGTGAGTGAAACTAAGAGATGGTGAACCAAAAATTATTACCCTAGCGGACAACACACTGAACCGAAATTCGAAGGTCTTGCGGACAGGTCTGTAGATGCTTCCACGCAGGTGCTTCGATCACACCCCCACTTTGGGCACATGACGTTCGTGGTGTTTCCCAGTATCATTAGCAGTGTACGCTAAGTGTTCAGGCTAAAGGAGAGAATTTTTTTAAAACGCAGTTTACCAGTTCCCTTTTATAGACGAGATGCTACCTTGCGGTCTGTGAAAGCGGTCCGGTCTCTGATACCCCGTGCGTCTCGACAGCCAGTCAGATATCAGGAGCAACAACCAGTTAGTCAAGGAAAAATATATGGTTCCCTTGAAAGTATCTGAAAACGAAAGGTTTAGCAAGTGTAGGTGTAGCGCACCGTTCAAGGTGAAGAAACTTTTCTGGGGGTGATATTGACACAAACAAAGATCGAAGACCTAGCTAAAGAATCAACATCAGGATATCGACGATCCTGAATCCATTCTATAAAAGGAGAAGAGTACACGAGTGAATGTTCCAACCAGCCACTGCCCGCAACCACACAGAAGCGTACACGCGGATCAGGCAGACCAAAGCTGTTGATAGCTTTTGAGCAAGCTTCACTGTCGGTCTAAAGCCACTATACCCTCCTCTTGATAGGGCCCGGTGATCATTTCCGTCTTCAGAAAGCTCGCGCAACGGTTTCGAAAATCATGGGGAAGTAGTTAATTTCATTTTAGCAGCCCTTGAAATTCTGGTATTCGTCCTACTGCACAGGATAACTAAACATGAAGAGCTTTCTCGAGAGAATGAGATTGTTTTGCGTCGGTCACTTATCATGTTGATCATGTGATCACAAAGCATAGTCGCACTGTTCACTGGTTAACAAACAGTGCTTCTGGACATCATACGAGCCGTTTGATCCCATTGATAGGGATGCTCTATGAAATGGCTTGCTGAGGGTGTTTGTTTTTAGTTGAGTGCATCGCATCGACACTCATCAGATTGGGTTAGTACATTTGACCGAGTGAAATTTAACTCAAGAATCAAAAAATGTGGGAGAGCTGGTCAATTAGGAAAATGGAATTCTCCCTCGATCAATTTAACTTTTTGTGGGTCTGTTGTGTTCATTTTCATCCTCCTTTTTATTCCATTATGCACTTTGTTTACAGTGCCCATTTGAATCAGGTGGTTACTCTAATGAGCGCATAATATTTCTTTTTTTACCTTGTGGTTANTATTTCGTTCTTCTGTGTTTCACCTACCATCCCATAGGTCTACTCCAAAATTCCTATCTCCTCATTCTTGGTCAGCGACAATGTGAGTTTGAAAAATTTACGTTCCGTCACGTCCGATCTCGGGGAGCATTCGGATGGGGATGAAGATGTGAACATGGGATCAGCAAGCAGCGAATCGGAGGAGTCAGAGTTTGACGAGATTTGGGATCAGCTGCCAACCGTGAATGATGAAGATACGACGTGTGACCAATCTACTCATTCAAAGAAGA